TACACTTCCATGGGCCCGACCTGATTCCAAATCTCAGGTTACCGTGGAGTATCGAAAGGAGAACGGGGCTTGCATCCCGCTACGTGTTCATACTGTAGTTGTTTCCATACAACATGATCAATATGTTAGCTTGGAGCGTCTGCGTAGTGAAGTTATGGAGCACGTTATTCGTCAAATCATTCCCTCTGCTTTGCTTGACAAGGACACAATCTATCACATCAATCCTTCTGGGCGTTTTGTTATTGGTGGCCCACAGTCAGATGCTGGATTGACCGGAAGAAAAATAATTGTTGACACCTATGGTGGTTGGGGCGCTCACGGAGGAGGAGCATTCTCAGGTAAGGACTGCTCAAAAGTCGACCGATCTGCCGCCTACGCCGCTCGATGGGTTGCTAAGTCACTTGTCAAGGCCGGTCTTTGTCGACGCGTCTTGGTTCAGCTCTCCTATGCTATAGGTATTGCTGAACCACTTGCTGTTTATGTCGACAGTTACGGAACTGGCAAGGTGCCTGAACACGAATTGCTTCGAATTGTTAATGAAAACTTTGACCTCCGACCTGGTGCTATAATCAAGTTAGCTTACCCTACTTCATCCTCTGTTCATTTTAACTTCCATTTTTTGATTATATTGTCGCTTTTGTAGGGAGTTGGGTTTGCAGTCACCAATCTTCCAAAAAACCGCTGCATACGGGCATTTCGGGCGTAAGGAGTTTTCGTGGGAGAAACCCAAGGTTCTACGCATCTACCCTCGTGATGAGTTAGATAATTAAGGCAGTAAATATTTCCCATTTGATGAAATTCTCATGTCGCACATATTCTTAGCCCTACCCTTCTCTCTCCTTTCCTGTTAGCTAAATTTGCCACTGCATACACAAGTGTGTTTTTTGTACAATCATATCACTGATGTTGGAAATAACTTGGTGTACAATAATATTTCTTGCTGTTTATTTTTTTCTGAATTATCTGGTTTATTTACATAGGGTTGTCCGGCTTCCCCTACTGGGGAATATGAATTTTATTGATTTATCCACTTGCTACTGGTATCTTTCCCGTTCGTTTGAGTTCGTGATGTTGATTTTTTGTCCTTATAATTACTATGAGTGGGGTGTACTGGGTCACCTGAATGTTCTCTTTCTTGAGTAACTGCTGAGCACGATATTTAGTTGCAATTCCTAAACATATTTACATTATACTGGTTCCGACTAGTTGCTCAAGGTACAAACATGATTTCCAAGGATCAAGCCCCTAAACTTGGGTTTTTCCAATAGCTTCAATGACGGCGTTCCTAGTGATTGGGGTATCCGTTTGACTATGCCCTAACACATTGATGCTTCCCACCTTAAGTTGAAGGTCGTGTCGAAATAGTACTCACTTTTATTTCAACCATCCCCCCAAAAAATTTTTGAGGGGCTATGGCTGTCGGTTATCATGAGGGGAGCTTGTTGCAAATGTGCTATTGGAAGTGGACCTATCTGGGGAGTGGGTCAGACACACTAGGGTGCTATTTTATGAGATATACTCGACTAAAATCTACAACTGCTTTAATTTGAAGTAGTCCTTGAGACAAGGAGGTCGGTTTCTGTAAACCCTTTACTTTCCAATCTCATTTAATTTCTAGAAGGTGAATTAACCTCTCCCTTAAACGCTCTTTTTTCCCTTTAACCATGTATTGAGAATTTCCCCATGAATCCTATTGAGTAGTAAAGATAAACACAAAATTAAGTAATCATAAAATTCATCATATGCGTTGACCTCTTAATCATCAACGCGACTGCATTAGCATATCAAGAACGTGGTTTGGAGCTCAATTAAGTGCATGAATTTACTCAACTACAAACGCTCAGAAAATTGCAAAAGACCGTTGCTGTGGGACATTTATATCGGCCAGCTCGCTGACAATTTCCTCAACGGTAACTCGTAGGCACACGAGAGATGTCTTCCTGAGTTCTTACTTTGATGGTGGTTAGCAATGTGGGGTATGGGATAGACTTATCTCCTCGTCGTGCACCCTGGGCAACGTATACTCATACGGCAAAAAGTCTATTAACCTGCAATTGACTTCTGACTTCAAACTACCATCACCCCATTGTATGTCATATTCCACCCCTTCCACAGTACTCATCTTACCTCTTTTCTGTCTTTGTGTTTGTCTCTTACATCTTTGAAACAATCTTCTGTTCCTTTCACCCCCCCCCCATTCTTGACTTTTTGTCACTTTGATGTTCCTTCTCCTTTGTGAAGCTTGAAGTCAACTAAAGGGCTCTTTGAACTTTTGATAGGCGTTTCAGGCATCATTTGACTCCAACAGACTTAGATAACACAGAAGAGTAGTTGCGTCATTATCCTTATTATTTGAACACAGAGCATGGTCTGGAACGACTGAGCACGTCTACATATCATTATACTTCAACATTACTCAAAAAGCACACAATTTCCAACCATACTTCAAAATTTAACCAAACGAGCTTTATGAATAGCTCACTATGAACCTACCACATCTGAAGAGATTTATGCTAAACACTCGGAACATTTTACTTTAAAACAGAAAATGAAAAAACGCAATACTACATAACCCTCACTCAAATCCTCTGGACTTATCTAACCCATTCTCTACCTCATATATCAAAGTTGAATATAACTCTGCATGCAAATAAACAGCTCTTTTTTATTTAAGAAAATATTACCGAAACTTCCATTAATATAAAAATGCATAAATAGGTTGTAGCAAAACTGGATAAATTGTTAACTGTTCGGTGATTCAAAAAGAAAAGCCTTCAATACCACTAATCACAAAATGGTAGAAGTGATTCATATAAACAAACGGCGTTCTTTAGATCACCAATTTCGAAGTAATCAGCTGCTTCGCCAATGTTTCCTATTAAACTCTTGTTTTCGTTGAAAAATTTCTGATCCCATTGCATTAGAGCCTCCAGAGTGCAGTCGGATTCAGCATGACGACTGCACCATTCAAGAACTTTGTCTAATACAACTGCTGTGATGTTGCTGAGCCTAATGACCTCGGTTCCATCGGCGTCTAGAAAGGAAGCATAAGCGAGACATGCCAAATGGATGCTTACTGTTAATTCGTCTACTTAAGGAGGGCAGAAATTTGGCTTTATCTTCCACCAAGGAGAGAATTAAGCCATCCCTAGTTTGCACTCTAATACTCATCGTTTAGGGAGAAGAATGAAGAAGTCACTGTGTTTGTCACAAAAATAAAAATGAGAAATAAATTTGTGTGAGCAAAGTATTTGCTAAGTAACATGAGTACATATTAGAAAAAAATTGTACATGAGCTTTAATCTAGGGAATTACTTTTCATAAGATCTCATTTTTGTGGAGTTTACCTCACCAATCCAAAAGCTATAGTTATTACTAATCAATGGACTTTTTAGTTGTTTTTACTAAGTTTATTATTATATCAAATGGCAGGCGTTTTGATGATTATCATTAGCCCTTTAGTTGACTTCAGGCTTCACAGAGGGAAGGAACATCAAAGTGAAAAAATCGAGATGGCGGGAGGGGGGAACAGAAGAGTGTTTCAAAGACGCAGGTAAAAAAAGTTGAGGTGGGTACTGTGTAAGTAGTCGAATATGACATACAGTGGGGTCATGGCAGTTTGAAGTGGGAAGTCAACTGCCAGGTAATAGACAATACGTTGCCCAGGGTGCACAACGTGGAGGTAAGTCTATCACACACTCCATTTTTAATAAGTAATTAGCTAACTACATATTACTAAGATAAGGCTGAAATTGGAGGTTGTGAGAACACATTCGTGACTGGACTTCTCGACCAATCAACAACCAATCAGGGACCAATGCACACTAACCAAATTCTTTTTGATTTTAATAATTTAAAGCTATTGAGAAAGGTAATTTGGGTGCTTCCAAAAGACCATAAGAGTAAACAATAACTTCTTTCGCCTAGTTTGTG